TTGGTTGATCCGTATACAGAGAATATAGGAGGAAATACTTTAGTTCTCTTTTCAGATATTTGTAGAGATTCTTTCAAACCTCGCCAAAGCTCCACAAGTGGTCGTTTCTCAAAGATGAGTTACGATGTTGAGTGCGAAACTGCACCAATGACCTTTCTCAGACCATTTTATGTGAAAGTCCCGTGGCCTGTGTTACACTTTGAAATTAATCTTTTAACCATCATTTTTGCCCTGTCATGCATTAGTCATTTGGAAAATAGCTCGCTGAGTTATGCGGCTTTTATGAAAGATGACATGATGCGGCACATTATACAATATCAAAACCACATTCGTCAATATCGCCACAATCTCATCAAAGCCTCTTAGAATTGGGGAGCTAATGAGCTCCCGGTAGCAGATGCAAGGTTTCCAAAATTCCAATTTTCACTTGAAAGCTGGAGTTTTTATCATTGGCAACAAATTCTGTCAGTTACTTCCCTTGAAATGACAAGCTAACTTTGTTCTTTTTTTAAGAAAATGTCTGCCAAATATCCAAGTCTGAGTTATTCGTCTGTCAGTGGTTCTTTCAAGCAGCAGTGATGTTCCGTGAAAAAAGTGGCTAATTCAGTTCACAAAAACAAAAAAGTAGCTAATTTCTGGAGGTGACCCTCTACACATCTGTGTACAGCACAGGTGTGCTATGTGTACATGCAATTCCCGCTTTGTCACCAGTGTTCAGAAGATGTGTCCTCAGGGCCAAGATGCAATAAAACTGATTTTTAAAAATTGTGTCATTAAGGACAATCTGAAGTGAGGGTGGCATTTTCTCTTCTTCCTTCTTTAAACCATGAATGTGTGGAGTGAGAAATACAGTGTCTGCTTAGTACTGACTAATGCCACTGTTATTCATGCTAAGGCACCAACGGTTTGCCCGCTAATGCTTTTGCACCACTAGCACAAATACCAACCAGTGAAAAGGGCAAATAATGCCTTGATTCTAGTATGGAAATGGCTTTGACCTCATGGACCCCCTGAAAGCATCTTAGCAACCCACAGGGGTTCCATGGAACACAGCTTGAGAACTCCTGGTTTAAATGCCAGAGTTTTTCTCAGTGAATCACATCATGTGTTGTCTGGGAAGAGTGAGGGCAGGAGAGGGGAGGGATGTACATCAAAATCTTCATGGAAACATTGACTGATACTATTGTAGTAAAGACGAAGAAATGGAGACATAGTGAGATTTGTTCCAAGTTACCCCAGCTGAACTGTGGTAGAGCCAGGATTAGCTCCCGGGTCTCTTGACTCACAGACAGTGAATGTGTAAGTCCCTGTCAAGTTAGGTCTCTCACGTCTCCTCAATGTCTTATAAAGAGCCATCATGCCCCTATTGTGTGCCAACAAGGGTAGGTGTTGAAGACATGCAGTCAAATGACATCTCCCTGCCCGTTGGGATTCTGTAGTCTAAGGGGCATGTGGACCCGTCAGTCAAAGCTTGCACATGCAGCTGGTATCAAGATGGGTAAACACGGGGAGTCTTGGGGCTCAGAGGAGGAACGCCTGCATCTGACTGCTGCTCAGGACCAGCAGAGCTGACGATTCTTGGGCTGAGTTGAGAAGGAGGAACAAAAGGTAGACAGAGACGAGGGAGCGAGGGCCCTGTCCCTGGAGGGAGAGTCCATGGGAAAGGTGGGGAGGGAGGAGCAGGCATGGCTGGAGCTTTGAATGACTAGAGGGTTGAGCAGGGGAGAGGCTGGAGGAGAGGAGGGTGAGGTTCAGGGGTTAGGTTATGGAGGACTGTCTGTGTCAACCCTGGAAGTCTGGACTCATCGTGAAAGCCTTGGGGAGCTGTGGTCACCTGCTGAAGGACTGGCTGTGGGAACGGGCTGGTGCTTCTTCCAAATACCAGACGGTCGGGGCACCAGGACAAGCCTCCTGATTCTCGGAGCCTCACCTCCCCCAGCTACACCTTGGGTCTCACAGTGACACTCAGCCTTGCCCCGTGAATTCCCCATCCACCATAAGGGAACTCTTGAAAGAACAATTTCCCATGCTTTTGAAGTAATCCCATTTTCTTGGCCTGAAACTTGCTACAAAGTGCTATTTATTTTTCCTGTGGGCTTTACGGCTCACTCTGGACTCTTAGAAACCATTACATCAGTTAAGTAATGTCGAACCATGTAAGATCTATCATTTGTAATCCTTTGCCTTGCCAGACTGAATCCTAGAAAGTGTTTCTGAGCAGTGGTGTCCAAACCTGGAGAGTCATCAGAGACAAGTGGTTCAAAAAAATACGGATTTCCAGACACCACCTCCAGGGCCCAGGAGTCTGTATGTTTATTTTGCTCCCCAAGTAATCCTGGAACAGACAGACTGGCCCTGGTCTCCTGCCCAGATATTTTGGGTACTGCTAGTTGGAACCAACTAAAGAGGAACATACATTTAGTGGCTGATGATCTTAGTTAAATATTGACTCAACAGATCTCCTGATGTGACTGTGTGACCACCTACGTGGCTGGCATTTTTCACGGCACAGGAAATGCTCTCTTCTGTTTTTGGGCTAGCAACGTTGACCTCTTACTTCATTTTCCATGCTCGTTGGTTTTACAATCCCCAGTCTCTTCAGAATGCTTTCTGATGGACATTTCACTCCTCTGCCCCTTCCCAGAGGCTTTGCCATCTCATTAGAAAGATATCGATGGTTTATATTGTCTATTTTTTAATTCCTGGTGAACATATTGTTTCACTAAAGCACTTCGAATGACTCTGTGCAGGTGTGCGCTGACTCCGTGGGCAGCGTTAGAGGCAAGCCCGTGGGGACCCGTAAACAAGGCTTACAATCTCTGTGTAATTGTAATGGTCTGGGGGCGTCTGGCGTTCCAGAAACGTGCAACATATACACGAACCACATCCATCTTTGACACTAAAGTATTATCAGCTCAGCCTCCAGGAAGGAGGAGGCTGCCAGATCCAGACGGACGCACAGGTGGTCCCGCCAAAGGCTGGGAGAATGCCACAGAGTGTGCCCCATTCCCAAGGGTCCTGGAGATGACATCATCCTTCTGGGGCCTTTGGAACAAACTACGACAACAGGTCAAGGTTAAATTTGGATCTTACCCATCCTGTTTCTGTTTGCTCAGACACAGAAGCAAGGCACAAGTTTTCACAAAGGCGCATGGGCCCCAGGGAGGAGCTGGGGATGATGGCTGTGCAGCAGAGAGCCACCCTGCTTTAAGGAGTGACAGTGCTTTAGATCCCCTATAGGCCCCGGGCCCCACATTCAGCTCCTCGGAAAGCTTCATCAGATGATGCTTAGAGACCACTGTCTGGACATGGACCCAAGCAGGAAATCTTACAAATGGAGGGAAACTGACGGAGCTTCTAGATCCGTGCTGTGCAGCTTCGGGGACAGCCCCCTGGGGCTGTCTGAGGGCTCCCAGTGAGCGTGCGCGTGGGGGAACATGGATCTAAAACAGATTGAGGAATGCTGCTTTCACCGACCACCTCCTCTATTTTACAGATAAGGAGATCGAGATCCAGAGAGGGGAAGCGACTTCCCCTCAGGGCTCATTTGTGTCAGGGATTGTGTGAACAGTCTCCTGCCTCCGGCCCCAGCCCCCCTGTGGGGCTCTAGGCCACCTCTGTGTCCTCATTACCACAGCCCCTCCTTGCACATGTGACAGGGCTTCCTTTGCCCCAGGCTCTTTCCCTTTGGTCACCCTATATTATCCTCATCAGTACTCCTGTCAGAAATGCGGGACAGTGTTATGACCCCACTTGACAGTGAGGAAGATAAATTCCAGAGAGATAAAAGAGTGTTCAGTCCAGAAAAACTGAAAGATTCAGGAATGAATAAGGATCTTCAAATATAGAAGGCTTGGCACCTGGAGGTGGGACCAGCCTAGTCTGCATCTCCCCAAAGGGCAGAACTAAGGCTGGCTGCAGCAGCAGATCCATTGTCCCTAGAGGAAAGACATCAGAGCTCAGAGCCGAGCTCCTTCACTTGTCAAGTGTGTGATCCTGGCGAGACACAACTTCTCTGAGTATCAGTTTCCTCAGCAGTATGAGGGATGATTAGAAATAACCTGTCGTCTCTGGCTGAAAGCAGAAGCTTAGCAAATAGAAGGTATGCATAGGGCCCAGAAGAAGGATTCAACTCAACGTAAGAAAGGACTTTCTATCAGAGAGAGCAGTCTGCCTTGCAGAGGGGTCAGCTTTTTGTTAGAAAGAAACTGAGCTATATAAGGTGGGAAATTGGACAATGAGGCCATTTTTCACCTCTCCCAATTCCAAGATTCTGTGATGTTTTCTGGGATAAACTCAAATGTTCTGTGCTCTTCTCTGTTCTTCAAACATGCTCTCTGCTGCCTCCAAGAGTAATCTCTCTGTCCAGAATGCCCCTCTTTGCCTACCCATTCTTCTGTTTAAATGAAACCTCCCTTTCTCAGGGAATGCTTCCTTTCCCCTAAATTGACTGAATTGCTAACTACACTTTAGTGTTCACACGAGGACCAAGCCAATAGTGCAAGATTAAGCCTCTTTTCACCAGGCCTGGTTGGCTATTGCAAGACCTAAGGCCAGCAGTAACCCCTACAACACAGCCAATCACATTGCAGAACAGTGAGGTTCTCAAGCAGCTGGTCTACCTGCTTCAGAGAACGAGGCTCCACGACCACTGTGTTCCAAGTTCACCACCATGTATTCGGTTCTTAACACGTGCTGAGCACAGTGTCATTTGCAGGGGCTTCAAAGATTAGTCACAATAAGTCACCTCAAGGAACCCAGTCTAGAGAGCAAAGCCAATAATCTTGATAATTGGGGAAACACATAGCCTTCCGTGGGTACTTGAGAGGGGAGCTCCTGGCTCAAACTGAGGTCCAGGGAAGGCTTCTTTGGAGACCTGACACCCAAACACTCCAGTGCTTCCCGGAGTGTTCTTCTTCTAGCTTGCTGGGTTGGTGGATATACTCCTAGGGCAAAGCTCCCGTTGCTGGGTTTTCATCGCACCTTGATTTATCTTTCAGAGCTTCTGCAGAAGTGCAAGATGCCTTCATGACTTACACAGTGTATGAAGACACCATTACCATCAAGCTCATCCAAGAGGCCTGCAAGGTTCTGGATAAGTCTGAAGAGGGCTTTTTGGTCTCCTGGGGCTGCCATAGCAAAGCACAGTCAATTCTCGTCACTTGCGGTAGTCCTGGTCTATCACGTCTCTGCACACCCCGAGTTAGCAAATACCGAGGCACTGTTCTTTGAGGAAATACAGGGTTAGGTTCCTGAGAGCCTCTGGCCACATTTCTATTTTCATAACTAACAAAACATATGTTGTATGTGTTTCTTTTTTAAGACATCTTATTTCATATGTATTGTTGATTCATTACCCTTGAACTCACAGCCAACAGCACTGTAACTCATACCAGAATGCATGTGTTTTTCTAATGCAGGTATTTTTTCTGTAAGGCACATGACAACTTCCTTGTGCTTGGGAACACTAGACAGCAGTTCAGCACTGTGTTTGGGGGCATTTTAAGTGCAGAACCACCAACAAAAAGTACAAAAATGCAAAAATGTGCACTAAATAGGCTGCTGAAAGGACACTTGTTTATAGTCTGAGAACTGAAACTAGAATGCAGAGCATTGCCCTGCTCAGCCTTAGCAGGAAACATGCATATTGGGTGGCTGCATTTTGTCCCTGCTCTGTACATGTCCATGCATGACCACAAAAGCTCTGTGAGTGTTGATCTAGAGGGTGACAAACACACTTTTTGGAGCATGTAAATTTGCAAATACAGAATCTGCAAATAATGAAGATTAATTGTATTACGTGCTGGGTGGCTTAAAACAACAGCACTTTGTTCTACCATAGCTCAGGGGCCACAAGTCTGAAGTCAAATTGCCAGCAGGTGACTGGCGCCCTCTGAAGGCTCTAGAGAAGAGTTCTTCCTCCTCCGGGTTCTGGTGATCCCAAGCGTCCCTTGTGACAGCGTAACTCCAATGTCTGCTTCCATCTGCATGTGGCCCCCTCTCCCCTGTGTGTCTGGCTCTATGTCCAAATGTCCCTCTCACCATAAGGGCTGCAGTCACGTTGGATTTCAGGCCCACGCTAACCTGGTAATCCATCCTTTCCATTTCAGTAACCTTAGGCTTCTTACAGACAAACCTTGTGAGCAATGCTGAGTTTCATCATCCACATCACCACTGTCATGTTCAGCCTTGGTGTTGGCTTTGATCGATGTTGTAATGTCTTGGAAATAGATCATCACAATGACTTCTGAGTGTCAGGAGGAATGGCATTGAGAATCCTATCGTAGTTATCTGGAAATGGACATGGTGTGTTTTGTGGGGTGCTGAGGCCCCTTCTCCCCTGTCTGCTCGGCCATAGGACATCTTCCCATTTGCCCAAACATTAAAATGCCACTGACAGGGTCATCTTGGGGGACCATGTGTGGATGGCCCTACTTACAATGTGCAACTATGCATTTCTCCCACGGATACATTAGCAAAGGATGGTTTATTATGTGAACTTGCTCACTCCCCTGGCTCTGGGGGCAGAGGTACAGGACAAAGGGAGAAGTTGGCTCTATCCCTTTCTAGTTTAATGATCCAGGGCAGCTTACTCAGTCACAGCTTTCTCATTGTTCAAGTGAGAACAGTGATAAGATCTGCCCCTCAAGAGTTGTTCTGAGGATTAAATGAGATCATGTACATCAATGCACTAAACGTGGTGTCTGGCTTACAACAAGCCCTCAAAAAACATGTCCTCCCTTTTCCCCTCTGTTTTAATTTCCTAGGTACCACAGATTGGGGAAGTGTCAAACAACAGAAATTTGTTCTCTCATAGTTGTGGAGGCCAGAAGTCCAAAGTCAAGGTGTCGGCAGGGTTGATTCCTTCTGGAGGCCCCCGGGGGAGAACCGGCCCCACGCCTCCCTCCCAGCTTCTGTTGGTTGCTAGCAATTTTTGGCTCATAGGCACATCGCTCCAATCTCTGCCTCCATCTACAGAGGTGGCTTTCCTCCCTGCCCGTCTTCACAGAGCCTTCTTATAAAGGACCTACCACTGGATCTGGGCCCACCCTAATCCAGCCAGGCCTCATCTTCATTTAACTAGTTATATCTGCAAAGACCTCATTTCTAAGGAAGGTGACATCCGCAGGTTCTAAAGAAGGACACAGATTTTGGGGGGGACACTATTCATCCCAGTACACTGTCCTTTCCTTATCCTTCCTTCTCACCTGCACTGAGCACACGATGAGCTGGGGCCTAGAGGGGAAGGAGGGTCTAGGGGGCTGCATGCAGGAAGCAGAGGAAGCACTTCCAGGCTCGTTGGTAACGCCCCTCCTTCAGTGCCAGTTGAGGCTTCCTTGCCCATCCTTCACAGCGTGGCTGTGGGTCGTGATGAGATAGCATTTAGGGACTTACTGCAAGTGCACACTGCATCAGCGTCCTCGCCTAGCACCTGAGACCTTGGGGCAGATTTGTTGGAAATGTAGGCGAGGCCCGGGAGCTCAGGGCCTTCAAGCTGGTTCCTGTGCAGCCCCCAGAGGATCAGGAGGCAGGGTGTGGTTTCCAGCTTGTTTCATGGTGCTTCCGAGGGCCCAGCAAATTGGCCTGCGGTCCCTGGGAACTCTTTTGAGGCTAAAGCTGGCCCCACCGGACACAGCATAACCAGCCCGGCAGGCGTGCTTGAGAACACACCCAGGCAGCTGGCGAACCTTAAGCCCACAGGGACAGGTGTCTTCTCTGGGATGTGGCCGTGACGTGTAATGTGCTTGTGTCAGGTGAGGCGGTGTGTTTATTTCCCTTTCCTTTGACTCTCAGAAGAATTGTCTGATTCAAAAATAAATGTGCCAGCGTTAATCTCATGCATCTGGAGCCAATGGAAAAGAGGGCTTTCCCCTTGATTTTCACATGGCAATCTGACCGACATCTGCGTCTCTTCTCACATCTCTGGTCATCTCCTGGATGCAGACAACCTTTTGTGCATCTGCATCTGGGAGAAGCCAGAAGTATCTGCAGAGCCTGGAGGGGAGTCGCTGGGGCCTAGGTTGCTGCCGGTGTGTGGTGAGGAGAGCTGCCCCCGCCAGCCGCTCTCACCTGCTGCCCCTGGCTCGTCAGGCCGTCTGAGCCAAGCAGGGGCCAGAGGTGCTGACGAGGGCCGGCAAGATGATGGTGATTGGAGTGAGGTGGAGTCCCGGACCCCAAATGGTCATTAACTTCCAACCAGATGTGTTAGCTCACTTGCCACCTGCATCTCCTAAGAGAACCCGGTAAGATTGTTTCTGAGACTGGAAATGAGAAGCAGGGAGTGAAACATTCATCTCATCCTTCAGCTTCTTGAATTTGGGCTCCAAGAACAGCAACAACTCCTGACACCTTCCAAAGCCAGTGCCCAGCCTCCCTTCTCAGTGACCCTTTGACAGAAGACACGGGCGATTGGCAGACAGCAGTCACAGTTGGGCACACCCCCACCCACTTACCGCCCTCCCCTCTGCCCACTGCCCTTTCCAAAGGGGCTCACAGAGAGCGTTTTGGATTTTTTATCCTCCAAAATAGTGAGAAAATAAATCTGTTGTTTAAGCCACCCACCCATCTACATATGTTGCTAAGGCAGCCCTAGCAGACCAGTCCAGGAGTTTGAATAAGGTTTTAGATGTCCAGAAATACTACATACACCTAATATCATACCTGGGCCGTTTTTGTAACTACGGATGATCGTGGACACTGCGGAGTGACAGTACCTGTAGCAGAGGGATCCCATCCCACATCCCCCTAAGGCGGTCACTGCTTCGAAACAACCAGCACGTTAAGAGGCAGCAACAAGTCCTCCATCACCGTTTTTAGCAAAGGCCAAAGTCTGTCGCTGTGACTTCTCTCTGTCTAGCTCTGAAAATCAGAGGGTGTTTTCTTCTTGTTTATCTCAATAACATCTGTTGGCCTATCCCTGAAAGGTGTATAACTGTGGTGAGCGCAGTTTTCAAATCAGCTGGGATTCAAAATCGTGTAAACATATGCATGGGACTCGGAATCAGGACGGCCCTGGGGAGCGTGGGCTGGGAGGTTTCTTTCTCTTTTCATCTATTGAGCAGTTGATTAATCAATCAATATAGATACCAAAGACCTAGAGGAGTACCCTGGTTGTGCAGCTGTCTGTCTGTCTATCTAGCCATCCACCTACCCATCCATCCATCCATCCATCCATCTCCCGTGAATCAGAGCGAGCAAGCCCCTGCCAGCAGGAAGGCTGCAGGAAGGACATTTCACTGTTTAACAAAATACTCGAGTCAATTGAGACAAACTCCTCCCCTAGACAAAGAGGAAAGCCTGCTTGTTACCCCTCATTAGTGCTTTGCCTTCCAAGAGGCCTCCAGGATGCCGTTTCTCTACCTTTAAGCAATTGTTGGGATTTTTCCAGACCACTCTGCCTGCGGAGCTCTGTGCTTCTAATTAGCATAATTCAGGATGGGACCAGATGGCAGGCTGAGCCTTGCGTAAGAATCGTTCTGTGTATGAATAAGTGCCTACTTAGTGTGTAAGTGGGTTATTAGTGATCTGAAGTGACAAAATTCAAAACAACACACAACAGCCATTTGGCACAGCTGTGTCGGTCTAGACATCGCTCGCTGAGAGACCAATAGTCAAACGCATTTCAACAGTTAGCTATCAGCGAATGCCAACAAGCCTTCTCTGCACCTACCTCTTTAAAAATAAGAGTAACAGTGCAAAATTTACAAAGTCCTGAAATCAGGCATTTTAATATTTGATCTTTACTGTGACCCTCTGAGGTGGGATAAGCCACCCAGGCCATGCAAACAACCAGAAAATGGAGATGCAACTCAGGTGTCCTGACTGCAGCCCACGGGCTGGAGGAGCAGTTGGCTGGGTGGGCACAAGATCCCCTGCAAGCGCTTTGGAATCAGACAGACCTGGGTGAGCCTAATGGTGTAACCCAGGGCACATTCCTCATCGGGGAACATTGCTGATACCTGCAGCCCCTACCTCAGATGGTTATCCTAAAGATCAAGTCCAACAACGTGAGTGAAGTGCCCAACACAGAGTGGGTACTCAACAAAGCTGAGCCCACCCAGCAGACCCCTCGTTGGGCCGACTTCTCTGTTCCAGAGTTCACTGGGAAGC